TCCAATATCCAAAACCAAAATAGTCGTGTTCCTTCCACTGGAAAAATATGTAAATTTTTTCAATCAATTTTTCCTATATGCATTTCAATGCTAAGTCGTGCGTAAGTCATTATACTTTTGAATAAATCGGCTTTGGTCTGTTTCGTATTTTCTCATAGATTTAGTTTATTTACACGGTATAGTTTTACATGACGTGCAAAACAGAAAATATCAGAATGATGTAATGTTATGGTATTCAAGCCATAGAATTGGATTGGTTGGGATAATAAACTTCAGATTTACTATTGACAAGAACAAAAAAAAAAAAAATAAGAAAATAAATAATTACATTTTTAACAAATACATTAGAAGTCACTCATTAAAACAGTATATTTCTGAAGTTGAACAGTCAACAACTTATTTGTTAATTTGTTAGTTGATAACAAAATATTATAAAATTTAACTGTTTTTGTTGTTTATATGTCGTCAAAAAATTCATAAAATGTACTGTCGCTTTCAAGCCATTGCCATTAATATTGGGTATAAAAATAAGTTGATCACAAAAATACAAAATATTATCTATTACTATTTATCACCTATAATATAGGGTAGGTATAGTATTGTAATATTATTAAAGTATTAAATACAAAACTTTTTAAATTCGTCTTATAACTAAAACTAGAATAATAACAGTAAAATATAAATTATTTATGTCTCAAGTCACATTATTATGAAATGAAAAAAAAACTAACCATTTTAAAGAAATCAAACATTCAATCATCTTCACATTGCACATTAAAACTATCTGAATAGTAATATTATAATAAGATAATTATTATAGTTACAATGTTTTGGACATGATACATTACCATAATCTATTTATCAATAAAATTGTTAAACAAAACGTGTAGTATAACATTGTAATTGTTACGATTTGTGTCGTATACAGCGGAGCAAAGTACCTATAAAGCGTTTTTTATTCTTTTCAATAGTCACGTTCAGGAAATATTCACCAATTAAAGGCCAGTATTATACAGCGTTATTCTTATTGATAAAATCGGTGACCTCGTTTAATATAAGCACATAGTATTATATTATAATAATATGATACATTAAGTATCAATATTTAGGTAATGGATCTGCAGTGATAATATTTGTTCGTTCTGAACCGAAATTAAACTATAAATTGTTTCCTGTTCAGTATATTATTATTATAGCTACCTATTGAATTTCATAAAATATTTTCATTTATTCTGTTTTATCAATATTAGATTCTAAGCTAAGATTACCAACAAAAACCATTACATACTATGTCAATAAAGACAACTTTTCGAGTACATATAGTAGCAATATGCATTAACAAAAGCTTAAAATGAGTTTTCCTTGTGTAAACTTTTGTAACTCTAGAAGTTACTGTGTGAAATTGTAAAACTAAGTAAGCAAAATGATAGTAGGTATTCGTCTTAAACACCGAGGAGATCATTATTTAATTTTTAATAGGTGTATGTATACCGATGAATCATTATACTTATTAATTATTACATAATATGTAAGAATGTTCCACGTTTATACCTTATCTTCAAGTTGGTTTTTGTTTTAACTTAATATTATGAAGCAATACTGATAACGGTTTTTTAATTAATAAAATATTACCCCTTAAAATAAAAACTAGTATTGTACATTAATAATAATAATAAACGATTAACTATATAAGTTTTATAATTATTCCAACTAACTTATAAAAATCTTCAATAACATTAAAACAATTTAAAAATATTTGGTCGCCGGAATAAGAGTTGTAGTCGAAGGTATTATGATAAAATATTCAATTCATCAAATTTTAGCAGGTAAAAAAACAACGTTGATTATTTTAGCGGGCAAGTAGGTAGGTATTAAAAAATCCACCTATTCAACATTTTCTTCTGGCGTACCTTTGCTTAACTTTTTTGACCATGCCCACTAATGAAAACGAATTATAAATATTATAAGGAACGACAGTTTGGCAGTGTCATATAATGTCTGTATTATTATATAATTATTCATATTAAAAGTTTATACTCCAAACTTGTTATCACTGACGGGTGGCGTTAATTTAATCCTATTATATTAGGTTTTGAGTTTTCAAAGACTCGAAATCTCAAATTGATATCAATCTCATTTTGAAACGTTCACTGCTCACTCTATAAAATATATTCTCTAATTTGCAGATTGTATAATATATTTTGTATAATTAATTTTTGTACAATGATTAAATTATTATATTTAACGGGAAACAGCCATTTAATTAACAATATACTGCATTATACACAGTCGGACGAGTTGGTGTATTCGAATATTATACCGGCTGAAACAAGATGAACATTTTAAGTAAAATGTAAATAACATAATAAGTATTATTGAATAAAACATAATATTATAATAATATTTATTTATACCTGAAACTATATACGTATTATAACCATACGATAGCACGTTCTCAGCCATGGATTATCTGTTTGTATTTAAATAATAAATATTCTACCATGGTTTTTTGTATCCTGGGGTCATATAATCTTATTAACTAAATATGTTCCAAGATTTAGTTATATGTTTTACATTTACGTTGATTGGGGTTCGTTAATATTAAAACAAGATATAACTTCCTCGTTCAAAATGCTCATGTTTTGGCGTTTTGCTATCGAAAACATGTATGTATACATAATAGTTTCATATATTTTGTTGTAGGTTATAAGTAACGGAATTTTGAAATTTTTTCATGAAAATACACTATCCAATAATATATAATACAGTATGTCGTATGGTAATAAATTTAGAATTTTATCTTTATAAAAACAATTATTACTTATTTATTAAGCAATATTTACGATTTATCTACATTTTATTCGCATTGTGAGAAAAAATAAAAATTACATTTGCACGATGGTTTTAACAGAATGATAATATTAAACGTTATCCTTGGCCTAAATTAAATTTGACTCTACACGTGTGTGTGGGATATTATTATTATTATTTACTGAACAATATTATAAAGACACTGAAACATGATAATATACCGAGATTCTCGGTTATTTCTGGTACACAATGTCGATCCACATTAATCTCGAGGTTTCTCAATTAGAGTCACGTGGATAACGCGTAGCATTCAATTAAAAATAATAATAACCACAGACGCCTATCGCGATGTAAATTAATTTACTCGATCACTTGAAATCCTAGAATCAAATTTACGCTTTGTTAATGGCCAAGTACTTTGAAAGGTGTGTATACTGCTGGTTCGTCGGTCAGAATTGGTATTGGGGTGTATTATTGCGCCAACTACGACCCAAATAATCGTGTGCTCTAAAGCATTGACGAGTACCCGTGAATTCGAACCCCGACTATAATTAAACGCGTGGATATCCTCTAAGTCCGAGTGGTACGTGATTGATAAACGATTAACAGAAACGTATTCTAGTTCGAACACCTGCTCAATATATCAACGAAAAAACAATAGTAGGTACCTACCTATATTATTATTCAATTCAAGTTACGATATTGCAATACTGCTCAAATATTCATTCAATAAATATACTATAAAAGCATACTTTATTATAGTAACATCAAAATAAAATACGTATAGATTGTCTTATATAATAGGTATTTATATATATTTATATTGTATTTACCGCAGTGTTCTTATGAAAACATTTGCATTGTGAAAATTGAACTTTAATAAAATCGATGAGCATTGAAGATTTATTTAATATGGTACATCAACCATATTTTATGTACATATATGTTAAAATTCATATGCTTATAGGCTTTTATCCTAGAAAATGACGTTAGGTTTAGTATATCAGATAATACATCGAATTCGAAGACCAAAGAGAAGAAAAATCGATTGAAATTCTGTCAGATGCTCGACAATCCATTTCAAGTATATGTAATGGTTACAAAAGTGGCATGCGACTTTAAGTTTATACTCTTTGACAAGAATACATACATTTTGGATCCCGTCTTTTTTATCTCTAACCCTTTAACACTGGAACAAGTTTTAGCTAAAGCATCCTAAAGACCCGGTTTCCGGTATGTAAAATACCTATTGTCATAGTATCCAAATTCCTTCTGACTGCGTCTCGTGAAGGCTATTCGAGTACCTGGAATTGGTAAGTAACAATAAATTTATGTCTAAAAGATTTCATACGAGACAAAACATTATATGAGGATATGAAGGATAAGCAGGGTTGTGTTATCTGTACACGGGGGGAGGGGGTCTATAATGGATAGTGATGATATAATAGTTTATAACATTTACTAGGAAATAAAGCCATACAAAATGTATTATTTGTTGTATATTTGTAAACGTTTTAAGTACTTAAATATTGTACCATCTACTAGAGAATATTTCATCAGGTATAATATGAATTGTTGTGTATAGCTTTCTGTACACAAAGTTTATAATAATACCTACAAGATAAGCTATTAAGCTTCAGGGGGATAAACAATTGTTTTTTGAAAATAAAATTGTACCTATAGCACTTAATATTATATGAAAAAAGAAAATGTAATTAAAGCACTGAGCTAAAATCAAACAACAATATTAATGAAATACCTGTCAATATTGTTGTTACTGTCATCAATCGCCGGATATACCTTCTATTAATATTGACGATTCCAGGATTTCTATTTAAACTGATAGACTGCGTGTCGATCATGAAATACAGCATCTGTTACCTATATAATATTCATTGTTTTATTCAGTGAATGATACTATACTATGATCTATTCAAACAAACCACATACAAACATACAATTTATTAAAATATTGAGTATAATAATATTAATACTGGAAAAATGAACACATGTACCTTAATTGCCTATCTATGACGCCGTGTGACAATAGGCGTACTATAATAAACGCAGTCCGTTCTATAAAAACATTTTTCTTTAAATAATAATATAATTGACGATTCCAGGATTTCAAGAATTTGTGCCCACATAGTTATGACATTGTATGGTATTATTTTTTTTGGCAGATCCCAATGACCATGGAGAATTGCGCGGCACTAATCGTTCAGGACCAGAAGTACTGTTACTTCCGGAAAGCAGTGCACTTTTGGGCGCAACAGGCACTGCTGCCTGCTGTTGTGGCCGTGGGCGTGGTGGGTAACATGCTTTCCGTGGTCGTACTTACCAGAGAACCGATGAAGAGCTCCACCAGCACGTATCTGACTGCTCTGGCTGTATCCGACTTGTTCTATTTGCTGTTTGTGTTTACCATATCTTTTGAGAACTATCCGTGGATCGTCGAGGCCGATTACTACATTTATTGGAAATGGTATCCTTACGGGCTGTGGCTTACCGACGCTGCTAGTAAGTATATTATATTATACTCTTCCTGTACACAATTTTATGAAATAACTTAAAATCGAGTACTATTGTGTACTATTATTGTGTGGTTATCGCGGCGATCAATAATTGAAAGCACTGAAAGTGACATTCTTGTTTTCGAAGTTGTGTTTTTGCTATACTGCATCCTCTCTACATGTAATTATTAAGAATGAGAATCTTATAGTATAAGCTTAATACACCAAACCTAACCAACCATTCATGAAGTAAATCATAAACTAAACATAAATAATTAAAAATATGTGTTTTCGTGTTTCTCAAAAATCGTATAGGTAATGTATACAGCTGATTTTAGTTTAATTACTGATTACCATTAAGTATTCAAATAGTTAGGTAAACTTTAAGGTTAAGGCCTTTGGCGGTTAGATGTGGAACGTGTTTACATAAATATATCAGTGTATGGTTGGCCAGAGGGTACTGAGAACAAACATTGTGCACTCGCTTTATATATGTATATTGGTTCTGAATAATCACCGAAACTACTGACTCGATTTCTATGCGGTTTTATTGTACATTGTTGATAATTTTTCAAAGGAGAACACAGCGACTACATATATATTATACTTCCGACCTAACTCCTTTTCTCTAAACTAAGCGATGAAACAGGATCATTGACTTGAAAAGTCATTAATTTGGCGCCATCTGTTTGGTTTTTATGGTTATTTAAATTTTTTATAAGAAATAATTGGGTGAAATTATCTAGGTAATACAGTTAGTGTGCTATATAATATATTGCATATTATAATAGTATGTATAATACGTTTGTGTACATTTGAAATAATTATTATTCTGTATCACGAGTCGCAAAGCAGGTAATAAAAAATATAGCATAATAATAATATACGTATTTAGTAAGGTAGAAAATATACACCTAATAATTTATTATATTAATTTAATTATTAATTGTTATTTTAATCTTAAAATTAATTCGTGTAGTTTGTTCGTGAATGGGGATCTGCAAACGGAATATTATTTTCAATCCCGTAAATGATAGTCTCTGGGGATGAAGTGGCCTAAAGCACATAATATATTATAAGAGTATCTTGGATACATTGGATGACGTATAGGTACGTACATGGATAAGAGGATAGAAGAGATGATTTCTGCGCATTGTTTAATTTAGTGAAAAATTGGAAGCCGGACAAACTGAAACTTTCGTTCAAAAAGTTAATAAGCTCATTATTTCCTGTCGCGGGCGTGTGCTATACAACTTAAAGTTCGATTGGGTTCTTTCGGATTGAGGATCCGAACAATATTCAACAAAAGACTCAACAACCATCCGACGAAAAAAGTGTTATTAATTTTTTTCCAGAAGCACGCGTCTTTTGTGTGTGACTAAAGTAGAAGAGACACAGAGAGAGAGAGAGATAGATATTTGTCGATGTTTCGGCTGTACCGGTCACGCGCTTAATCAACACGTCTATTGACGACGATGATTCTTGGAAAAAAGACTTGACCCTCCGTGCATTTTTTTATGAGGGAAAACAAAATGAATAAGCCTCGGCGTACAGACTCAGGGGAACGACCGCATACCCTTTCAAGGGACTTACTAATGGAGATGCGAGTCGTTGAGTACTATAAATCGTGTAAGTCACGAGCAATAAAGGTGTGAAAATAAATGGAAACTCCTCTTATTATTGTATACAACCCACACACACAGCGAACATATTGTTTTTCTGTATACAGCGCATGGACGTCTCGGCTGCACAAGTAACAATGGTGCTTTCGTACAGTGATTCCGTATTATTTCGCAAAAGCCGACTGCAAAACAATTAACGCTAGCAATATTCGGCCGTTTTGAAGTGTCCCCCGGGGAAATGCCGGTAAATAGTATTTATAAAGAGAAACAACGGACTCGAAGTACTAAAATTACTTTCTCCGGAATAGAAAATATATACGCACTGCGCACACGACGAGAATGTAAAATATGATATAAAAATTGTACGTATATACCTATACAGCGTGGGTTCGTATGAAACAAACGCGTTTATAAATTTAGTGAGAAATTTTTAGCGTTTTCCGTGGAATTCGATATTTGTTTTATATGAGACGTATAGGTAAACAGCAAATACCTACACACAGGGGCGTATTTATGGGGGAGGCTGGGTGGGCTGCAGCCCCCCCTGAAATTTCAAGAAAATCCAAAAAATATGAATGTCAATAAAACTTTATTTGTTGGGTAAAAAAGCTTGAAAATTTAATACAAGGCTCCTGCTATATTGTTACAATAGCAGTTGAAAAATATTAAAAATCCTTAGTCATAGTTTTTTTATAAGCATTTAAAGTTCGAATCTTGACAAAATACTGAAAAATCACAACACTTAAAATTTTGCTGAATGTTTTCATTTTTTATACACCAAAAAAATTTGAAAATATTTTGCCTCTTTTTGAGCTATTTACGGACATTGACAGTTTTCATTTTTCTTAGTTTTTTTTCTATAAATATCAATAAAAATTTTTTTGTTGGGTAAAAAGCGTGAAAATTTAACGCAAGGCTCCTGATATATTGTAACAATATTAGTTGAAAAATATTAAAAATACATAGGCACAATTTTTTCTTATAATCATTTAAAGTTCGAATTTTGACAAAATTTATCAAATTTAAAATATAATAAATATTTTGTAATTAAAAATTTATAAAATGTTCAACTTTCATAGTTAAGGATTAAAAATTTAAAACAATGGTCCACGTAAATAGGTAAATATATAAATTACTTTATTCAAAATAATATCATCAAATATACTTAGTAATATCATAGGCTGACTGACCGTTTTCGCTTAGAATCGTTTTTCTTATACAATGATATTATATCATTGAATTCAAATTTTACACCATCCATTACAGTGACCCACTTGTTACCTACTGTACAGCAGAGCGACATCCACTTATCCACTTTTTGTTTATTGTGTGACTATGTTGATAATTTTGTTCAGCCCCTCCCGAAATAAAATTCTGGATACGCGCCTGCCTACACATATGCAATTAATACAAAACACGGACTTGGTGATATCGTGTTACACAATTATTTAGATACCGTCACACGACCGCGTTTTAATTATTATTGCTGCAGTTATTCATTTGATATGATTTTTTAATTTTTATTTCGATTTGTAATTTTATTGTAATTCGATAAATGTTATTTTCTAAAATTGCGTTTGGATGAGTTTTTTTTACGGTAAAGATTTTTTAACTTTGATGACGACTTCGGATATTTTTAATTTCCGTTATGTTAATATAGACTCACTATTAAGTACCTACATCGATATAATTATTCATAATATTGTTCGTTTTAGACATTTAATCATAATCAGTATCAACAAATATAGGAATGCCACATTTAACTGTATTTTAAATAGGGCATTTAATTAAGTCCAGTTATGTATTATAGAGTAATTTATTATAGACATCAGAGTTATTTTTCAAAAACAATAACATATTTAGTGTGAATCGTAATTATTTTTGAAACGATAGTTTTTAAAAAGGTAAAATTTAAAAAAATATATAAAGGTAATAACGTTACAGCAAGCGCTGAAAAACTTTATTTTTAATTAGTGTTCGAAGTATGTCAATTTCGAAAGTACATTTAATTTTAAGCGAAGACAACTTTATATTAGTTTCATTAGGCAGAACTAAGATGTATTGATTTCGTTGACATATTCTCAGAGAAAGATCCTGTTAGTTTATTATTAAATTTTAACTTGTAAGATTAATCGAAATAGTTTAATTGTTTATACATGGTAGTACATAAAACTATTTCTTTTGTTAGGCTTCTCCACAGTTTGCCTGAAGTTACTCTGAATAAATAGACAGTGAAAAACTATGAAAACACAAAGTTTATTTCGCACTTATTATGTAGTTCAAATTTTACAAATTCTTACTAAAACAATATAGTGCTTTAATGTAAGCTAAAACCAGTTTATTAAAATTAGTTACTATTTACTCAGTACTTTTATAATTAATATCAATGACGCTCGACGTATTACATTTTATGAATTAATGTCATTTTGTAGTAGACCTTACTATACTTCTCTTAAGATCAAAACATTTTATTAAAAAATAAATAATTAAATACATTCATACTTTGTATTGAAATGTGCATAATATTATTATCTCTATGTGTTGTCATAAACAGTACAAAAAATGTGTACTAAAAATAATAATAAAAACCAAATGTCAAATTATTTTAATCTTTTCTTCTTTTATTCCATTAATGCCACAAAATTATGGAAAAACAATTTACATTCAACTACAATGTAATTACATAAAATGAAGAATACATTATAAAAATAATTACAATGCCATAAATTTGTTCTTCGTGATTTTCCCGAGGTCGTAAATTGTGTCCATGATTGGAAACGTTGCGATTTCGACTAACTTCAATTACTACTATAAAACAATATTAGCATACTCTAAGAGATTCCATACACCAGAACTTAGGTTTAAAAACTATTCATGAAAAGATCACAAGAAAAGATTATCATATTATACAACTAATAGCTACAATAGATTTATTTAAAATCTTAAAATTCAAGACGGAAACGCCCATATTTTTTGATTAATATCACAACATTTTTTCAATTGTTTATATTATTCTTTAAAATGTTTTGCTAAAAGATTTAACAAAGCCTTTGAAGGCTAAAAACAAATTTAAATAGGATTTAAAAATAAAACGCGGATGAGGTAGAAATATATAATTTCAAAATACTATCAAAACTTCTCATGATATATTATTGTACCTATTATAATTTTATTATTATTACTTTAGTACACACTACACAATAATGTTTGATTTTCTTCAGGCTAAACTTAAATTATAAGTACAGAAGTAATTTTGAATGAAAGTACGTTTATATATTTAATTCTAAAAATAGGGTGGTAATAAATAATAAAAACATCAACAGTAAGTCGAAATATAAATATCAAATTCATATTGTGGTGGTTTAAGTTAAATATTTGACTTTAG